TTGGCTATCTAATATCATCGGAAAAACGCCATTTGTTATTACATCGTGTTAATTTTTTTAAATAAATTAATGTCTCAAACGAGTTATTACCGATCACCGTTTGGAGACACGACTTACACCAAAGTGTTCGTCGGAGGATTAGCATGGGAAACTCCCACCGAAGAAATGCGTCGTTACTTTGAACAGTTTGGAGATATTCTTGAAGCCGTAATCATCACCGATAAAAACACCGGCAAATCTAAAGGCTACGGATTCGTAAGTTTCTTTGATCTCTTGTATATATATTTAGTATAAATAAGGGTTTATTTGTTGAATTTCTCCGATCGTAAATTAATTAGGTGACATTTCGGGAGTCGGATTCAGCGACGAGAGCCGTCGCTGATCCGAATCCGGTGATCGACGGAAGAAAAGCCAATTGTAATATTGCTTCTTTTGGACGGCCTCGACCATCTCCTCCACGAGGTTTGTTTCTTAAACTTCCGGAAAATCTTTTATTTGATGAGTAGTTATTCTGATCATGATATATTTTGTTATGAAGTTTTTTTTTTCTAATGTATTTGACCGTATAACATATACGAGATTAAATAGTTGTCCACGTTAGAATTAGAATAAGTACATTATTCAATAATGCTATGTGCGTTTGTGTTATATACAACATAAATTTGGCCAATCAAATTCATCTTGGAGAGCAGACTCTTTTTTTTTTTGCCAATAGAATACAAACATTTTTACACAAAATATTCTAAAGAACATTGAAAACAATATCATGGACTTTTCGAAACGTAAATTAGCAATGTACTTCTTGTTAAACCGTTTTGTTTACAATTTCGTTATAGGTCGAGGACAAGCAGGAAGTCCGAACCAATACCAGAGTGGAGGACCATCAGCCTATACAGGGTTGGCTGCACCGTTGCCACCAACTGCAGCCACCCAACTCATGTATCCGTCTTACGGGTAAGTTAGTTATTATATATTGATTTGATTTTAATGGCTCCAATGATATATATAAAATCTCAAGGATTTTAGTTTATAAATGTTTTGCCTAAGGAGATGGTCCAATGCGATAGAAATGGTAGGAGACAATTTAATGCTTCAATCGAGCCACTTGTTGTCAGGCTGTAAATATCATAACATAAATATGTATATATAAAATCCTGCAATGTACATTTAAATTTATTGATCTTCAAAATTATAACTAGTCAGATATGGAAAGTTGAGAAAACCCTTATCGTACAAGAAGGTAATATGCTAAATGGAAGTGCAAATTAGAAGATTATTCTTCTTATAATAATGTTTCAAATACAAAGATAACACAAGTATATTTTTATATTTCTGAGGAAAAATTAGCATCTTTTTAGTATATAATCATTCAATTCTTCGTTTTTTCAGGTACACCTATCATCCTGATCAATTTGGGTACCACCAAGTGAGTCTCTCTTTCTCTTACTGACATATACATACATACTGAGCAAAGCATGAACATAAAGCAAAATCGAATTTAATCATGAAGTGCAAGATATGAAAATTAATAATGGATTTTTTACGTACGACGTATCTTCCACATGTCGACCACTTACATACTGCATGAAAAACATTAGCACATGCATGTTTGTTGTAACCATATAGACAT